GGTCGCGCTGGGCGTACGCTGGTGCTGGCCGCCGGGCGCAAACAGGCTGGATCCGGGCATGCGCGGCGGCGTCTCGTTGGGCCCGCTCCGGATGACGGGCGACTCGGGCTCGGGGATGGCCTGCACCGCCTGCTCGACGTTGCTGCGATCGCGGCGCGGCGTGGTCGCAGACCGTCGTGTGTATGGCATGCAGAAGCTAGAGTGTCAGCCTGGCCAGCCGCAGAGGTTCCCTCGCTCGCCGAGCGCCGTCGTGGTCCAAGGCAACTCACCGTTCAAACTCTTCCTGCGTGATGTTCGAGAGCGAGGTATAGTCCATGGTCTCGATGAAGGCAATCGCACCCATCTGTCCGGGGCCGATGGCAAGCGAGGCGGGAGCGGCGTGGAGCGAAATGGAGGGGATCGAGGGGCAGATCGATCAGCAATCGTAGGCGGACCAGCCAGCCAGATCGGAGCGCCCAAGCCTCACCAGGCTCGAGAGATAGTAGCCCGACTCGCTCGAGAGCCGTTCCGGATTGCGGAAACGGCTGATGTACCTGCGATTGTCGGCGGTCGCGAAGGAAGGCAGGGTCGCGGAAGGCGAGGCAAAGAATCAGTGCTCTGGCCGTCGAGATGGACCGCTGCGCCGGAGACGGGCAAGGCGGCTGCCGCTACCACTCACTCGACGTTCGAGATGAGGTTGTCCGGGTTGGCCTTGAGCACGACAAAGATGAGGACGGGGATAAACGTGTCGGCGTTTTCCTCGGTCGAGAGATGGCGGATCATGCCGAAGATGACCTTGCAGCAGTTGAGGATGCAGATGAGCTTGTCCCTCGGCGCCTTGTAGTGGTTGATCTTGAGCAGCTCTGCGGTCGGGCAGGCATAGACACCGGAGTCAGTCAGGCATTTGCCTCGATACGACGACGGCGGCGGCGACGCAGCGCTGCAAGCTGCTCACCTTGGATGGAAAACTCAATGAACCCCCTCGAGTGGTCGCCGACGGGCACGTCGAGATGCTCCTCCTTGAGCCAGCCAAACAGCTTGATGCGCTGCTTGAGGATGCGGTCGCGCTCGAGGTCGTCGGTCTGGACGCTCCAGCGCCCCTCTTTTTGGACGGCGGGCGTAAACGTGTACGGGTAGAGGCGGTTCATGACGAGCTTCTCCATGGCCTCCTTGGCGTTCTCAAACTCGACGTCGTTGAGCGACGCCCACACCTCGCACTCCTTCATCCGCTCCGAGATAAACGCCAGAAAGTCAAAGATGAGCTTGATCTGGTCGGCGGTGCGGTACGGCTTCTTGGCAAAGCCCTTGATGAAGCTGCGCACGTACTCGCCCACGGGCCCGGCGCTGCGGTGCTTCATCTGCTCGAGGAAGCGGTTGAAGTCGAACGGCAGCTCCTCGCTGGCCTGCGTGGTGGGCGGAGGGCCCTTGCCGATCTTGATGCCGCTGGCCGAGCTGCCGCTGGACCGCCTCTCGGCCCCGCTGCCGCCCTCGAGGGGCGTCGTGGGGTTGGGCGAGAGCAATCCGGTAGGCTCAGTGCGGGTCCCATCGCCTTTGGCCTCGGCCTGATCCGACGAAACGGGACTCGTCGCCGTCGTCATCGTCGAAGCGGTGGGGTTAGCGCCAGCAGCGGCGTCGGTGGAAGACGAAGCCGTGCCCGAGCTAGGATCGCCGGCACCAGCGGCGCCCGTCTCGTTGGGGAAGGAAGGCAGGCTCTTTTGGCTCAATGCCACGCCGGTGCGGCTGCTGGGCCGGCTGTTTTCGGCGCTCGAACGGCCCGAGGATGTGCGTCCAAATGCCTGCGCCACCGCAGCGACGCTGGCTGGGTCAGCGAGCGCCGCTCTGCCCCGGACCGAGTCGGCGCTGTTGGACGTTGCAGCCTTGGTGGGCGTCGCCGGGGCTGTCGCATCACCTTGGGCGGGCGAATCGACGTGGTCGTGGGTGCTCGTGGTGACGGCGGTGGCAGATACGTCAGGGTCCGCGGCTGCAGCCTTGTCCTCGATCTCGACCGGTGCAGACGCTGTGGCTGATGTGTCAGGAGACGAAGAGGGCCGGTCCTCTGGCTGAGGAGTAGTGCGATCCGGTTCGGAGGCTTGTCGGCCTGGGTTGGCCTCCGTACTTGTAGTCGGTGCATCGCCGCCCTCGCTGCTCGCCGCTACGTGGGCCGCTGCATCGGCCGGCGCAGCACCAGCCTGCTCCTCTACTGCCGGCGCTTCCGTCTCTTCGTCGGCTTCTTCCGCCGCTGCGATAGAGGCTCGCTTTGCGGTGGCGCCGCTGCCCGCCTCTTGAATCTCCTCACCTGGCCGCTGCGGATCTCCGACGCCGTCGCAGTCGCTCTCGTTCGGGTCTGCCGCAGCGGGCTGGACCGCCTCGTCGGCTTGCTCGGCGGCCGCGATCGAGTCCGCTAGCCGTTCGCTCCGAGCCCCCGAGGCCTCGCCTGTCGAGTCGTCCGTCTTGGGCTCCGCAGAAGCTTCGGCCTCGGTCGGCTCAGCCGCCGGCTGAGAAGCTGCCGGCGCCTGTTCTGTCGTCGTCGCAGTCGATTCAGTGGTCTCCGAAGGGTGTTCCGCCGGGCTAGGCTCGGCCGCCAAGCTCTCGCCTGCTGCGCTGCTCTCCTGCGTGTCTGCGATGCTCAGAGACCGCATGGCGGCGGCGGGCTCCTCCGAAGGTCGCGTCTTATCGTCGGGCTGTGCCGAGACCGGGCCTGACTCGGTGCTATGCGAGGTTTGAGCCTGCTCGATCGAGGTCTGTGTAGGGCTGCTCGAGCCTTGAGCCGCAGGGTGAAGCTGGTCGACCGACTTGTCGACCCCGTCGATGCTCGACATGGCCTCTGTATGCTGCCAGTGGTTGTGGGCTGGACAAGGGGGGAAGGCGCGGCGAGCGGGCTCGACGCGCAGCTGAGGCGAGAGGTCGGAAGAGCCCGGCAGTGGCTGGCGAAAGTGCAGGTGGGGTTTGAGATGGGTTGGTGGGGGTCGCCAGCGAGGCTGTTGGGGCGAAGGCGGAGAGTGATGGCGGAAGTGAGGCAGGGTGACGGTGTCGAAGGCAGGGAGCTGGCCTAGCCTGGCCCGGCTCTGGCCAGTTGACCGCCGCTCTGGCCACGCGCATGGACCCTCTCTCGGCAGGCAGGCAGGCAGGCTGCTTGCTTGGTCTGGCTTGCCCGCCCAGTCTGTTGTGTTACTTTTTCCGTTTCTTGCTGCCGCCGCGCAGAGATCGGCAGGCTCAAGCTGGTCAGTCCAGCAGGCCTAGCCGCGCCAAGTCTGGCTCCACGACGACATCACATGAAGGGCGGCGAGCCGCGAGCTTCGAGCCTCTTGCACACGCACACATACAGAGTCACGCACGCACACCTCACGCCACGCGCCATCATCATCGAGGAAGAGTGGAAGGGGTTCGTGACGCTTTGTTTCGTTCAAGTCATCCGCCGCTCAACCGCAGCAAGTGCCGGTGCCGTACACGTGGTCCTGCTGCTGCGCATCGGGGCCGACGGCCTTTCTCCTGACGCCCCGCCGAGGCGCCGGCTCGCCATCGCTCGACTCGACGCTGATGCCGTCGTCGTCGTCGGTCGCAGCGTCGCCATCCTTGCCGATCGAGTCGGGTTTCACGCCCGTGGGCTCGCGCGCAGCGGTGACCCTCGGCGTCGACCTGGCGTGCGGCGAGTAGTCGTGGTCGAGCTCCTCTTCGCTCGATGGGCTGCCGAGCGTATCCAGCGTCGAGAAGAAGTGGCCAAACATGCCGCCGGCGATGATCGAGATGAGGATGTAGCCGTTGAAGGACATGGCGATGAGCATCACGATGTACTGCGGGTGGTCGAGGAAGGAGGAGGTAAGCGGGCAAAGGAACGAGGAGATCTCGGTAGGTCAGCATTGGAAGAAGGGCCTCGACGTTTCGCCACCTCGCGATCACGACCCTCGCCATGGCGGAGCACTCACAGCGCCGGCGAATTGACAGCCGTAGAAGAGCGAACGGATCGCCTGCTGGACCATTGTCGGCCTGAACCTCGGCGGGGCGAGCTGGTTGGCGCGCCCGCTCCGGCTCCTCGGCAGACCAAAGAAGATGCTGTCGATCCTCTCGCCGACCTGGGGTCTGGGCTGGCCCGCCTTTTCGGCCTCGACCAGCGCCCTCTGGATCTCCCTCTCGGCCCTTCTGCGCTCGCGGCGCTGGATCTCGGCCTGCTCAACGATCCAGCGGTCAAATTCGCGGCCCCACCTCCGTATCGTCTCGATGAGGAAGACGATGAGGAAGACGCCGATGCAGGTGCCGGCGAACTGGGCGTTGGTGCGGACGTGCCAGGACGACGTGAGGATGCAAATGTTGGTCGTCTGCCAGTTGCCGAGCATGTGCATGTTGCACTCCATCGATGCGCCGCCGTGGTCCATGCCAGACATACCCGACATGCCAGACATGCCAGACATGGAGCTGTGGTCGTGCGCCATGGTCGACAGGCAGGCCGGTCACGCTGTCGCACAGGGAAAACCGGGGGTGGGCTTGCGCAGCGAAGGTACAGCGATATTGCGTTCTTGCTGATCGAGCCCAGCTCGATGAGTTTGGGCCGTCGAGGTGAGTCTTTGGGCCTTGTGTGCGGCGCAGCAGCTTTCGCGATCGAGGTCGAAGATGGCGGGCGTGGTCAGGAGAGCACAGCGAGCTCGTTGAAGGATGGTATGAGCTAGTGTCGAGAGTTGCTAAAGGGGTCGGCGAAGCAGTGCTGCGCTGTGGGCGCCGCGAAGGTGAGGGGTAGCGGTGAGACTGGGCCGAGCGGATGACGGAGAATGGGAAGATGACAATCTTCAATGGGAGCACGACAGGGCGTCGGCAGCGCTGTAATGGGGTTAGAAGGCGTGGCAGCGGCGGTGGTGGTGGTGGCGGTGGTGATGGCAGCAAGCCGGCACAGTTATGGTCCGAGGTAGGGCGAGCCATGGCCTCGAGACAGCCTCAAGGACCGGCCTGGCTGGGCAATCAGCCAGGACCGCTCAGGACGGCCATCACCTCCGGAGCTCCTCCGGATGGACGACTAGGCCCCGCTGCACGACACGGTCCTCCTCTCTCGTTGCTGGGCCGACGCTCAGAAAAAAGGCGCCGAAGGGCTGGTTCGCTAAGACGCAGGTTGAAAAGGCTCCGAGACGCTGGGCGAAGCAACGCAAAACGCGCCGACGGGGGCCTTGCGGCCGGCCAGGGAAGAGAGGGGCCGGTCGGAGGGAAATGCGCCAGCAGAAGAGTCTCGGTTCGTTTCTTTTTTCGAGCTTGGCTTGGCGCCGCTAGGCTGCTGGCCGGTAGAGTCGACGACAAGGCACAGGGAAGAAGCTCAGACATGGTCGGATCGATGGAAGAGGCGGGAGCGAGGACGACGATCTCAACGTGGCCGACACCGTGCCTATCTGACGTCGGGCCTTTTGCAGCGGGCAGACGGCCGTCCGCTTCCGTCCTGCTCCGGCAGCTCAGTGACCTTCTTCAGGCCTCGCTGCCGGGCGCCGCCGTGCGCTCGCGGTCATCTTTGCGGCCGCCATTGGAGGACCCTGCCTGCTGTTGGACGCGCTGCGGGAGCTGGCGCAGCTGGCGCCTGGTCGACGACTCTCGAGATGGCGGCCGCTCTTCTTCGACGGAAAGCGGGCTCGACGAGGCTTTCTGAACAACCTCTTCCGATGCCACGGCCGCCGGCGCAGCAGCAGCCGAGGCAGGAGCCGACGCAGGCGCAGGCGCATCCGGTGCCTTCGAGGAGGCGCGCTTCGACTTCTTGCGCGCCTGGGTCGAGGTCTTGCTGCCCGACGTTCGGCAACGCTTGGTCGGCTTGGATGCGGCAGCCGCTGGCGGGCCTTGGACATCGACGGCTTTGCCGTCGTCCTCGGCGTCGACTTCCGCCCGCAAGGTCGAGGCGCTGACCTCGAGCGCTGCTTTGGCGTTCTCGTCCTCGGCAGCAGCCGTCGTCCGCTCCGAATGTGCCTGTTCAGATGCTTCGTCGACTTCTTGCCTGTGTAGACGCGAGCGTTCCACGTCCTGGCGGTCGCTGCAGAGCGGGCTCTTTGCGCCCGGAGCCCACGACGACAGCCGGGCGTAGCTGGCAAGTGCAGAAACATCAGCCGCAGTGCTGGCCACGCCGCTGCGCTCACCCTCGAGCGGCTCGGTGGTGCCCTCTTTCGAGCGTGCATCCGGCATCGAACCGCCGAAGAAGCGAGCCAAGGTAGAGGACTCGCCGATCTGCACTCGCTCGCTGCGGCCTCGCGGTGACGCAGTGGAGGCATCAACGGCCGCCAGCCGCGGACGATGGGGCGGGTTGCTGCCGAAGGCTTCAGCAAGGGTGCTGCTGGACGCCGCGTAGGCGCGCGGCGCTGAAGATCCAGCCGCCATGCTGGTATAGAGGCTCATCGGAAGCTTGGCCGTTTCGTGGCCCTGGGATGACGGAGGACCGGCCGACGCCGAAAGAGGCACTTGAGGGCCGGGGCCATACTGCAGTCGTTCGGCGATGCCGTCGCTTGCGCGAGTCGAAGCTGCTTCCGACCTTGGGGCGCAGTTTGTGTAGAAGCTGTCTTCGCACTGGGAAGCGATCGGCGAGTAAGGAGATCGACAAGGAAAGCAGGAGATAACGCTCGTACCTGTCAGTCAATCGAGTAAGGGAGAGGCTCGCTGCAAGCAGGCTACACATCCGTTGGACCCACCTTTGCCGCCGCCGCAGACGTCAGCAGGGAGATGCCGGATTGTGACGGATCCAACGGCAGCGCTGCATCATCAGGCTGCACGATGTCGGCGACGCCCAGGGCGTCGATCCATGCTCCAGCATACTCGTGTGCAGATGCAGCGCCCGCCTCTCGACCCTGGTTCGGGAGTTTAAGCGGGTTGGAGACCAGAGGGTGCGATGACGCCAATGACGTTGCAGCGCCGACGGGAGCGGGTTCGCTCCGGTTAGAGGCTGGCATCCTGGCCGCGCTGGTGCCCGCCAGGCTGCTGAGCGCGGGCAGGACTTCGTAGTATGGGTGTGCTGGTCTCATCAGAGTGACGGGTGGGTTGTACGCCGCGCTCTGCCGAGCCGTCTGCTGCTGCTGCTGCTGCAGTTGCACGTGTTGCTGCATCTGCTGGTGATGCTGCTGCTGCTGTTGGAGGTGGTAAGCCGACGTCGAGCGGTCGCGGCGTTCCGAGGTGGCACCGCTTTGCGAGCGTGAGGCACCGGCATTGAGAGCAAGGGTCTGCTGAATCCCCATGATCGCATGTTGGAGGGACTGGGTGGGTCCGCGAGCGGTTCGGGTTGGGCATGACGACGCGTCGCGACGGTCCACAGCGCGATGTCAGTCTCGGCACTGGTCACGGGAGACCGACCGACAAACGGGCCCAGACCAGCACAGCGACTCACCTGGATCTGCTTTCCTAGCCCCTTGACCTCGTTTCCCGTCTCTCCCCAGGCGCTCCGCAGCTGTGACACCCCGGCCTGGATCTCGTCCATCTGCGCAGACAGCGCCTTGCCAGCCGCTGTCGTAAATTTGCCGCCCTTCTTGAGACCTAGACCGGGATCAGCACGCACTTGCGATTCGTTGGATGCAGCGTTGGACGCAGCGTTGGACGCAGCGAGGCCCGAGGCCGTCGCGAGGAGCGAGTCGATCGCCTTGCCGTGGGCCTGGACCTTCTGCTCGAGGCTCTTGGCCTGGACGTACATCACCTGCCTCTGCTCGAATGCGACATGCAGCATCCTCCAGGAGTCGAGCTGCACGCGGGCCAGCTCGTCGTCGCGCTCCTTGGTTTCGCGCCGTACCGACCTCAGCAGGCTGATGATCCGAGACTCTCCCGTCTGCAGCCCTGCGACGGCGTCTTCCAGGCGCCTGATCGGCTCTGACCATGCCGGAGCCGCCTCGTGCTGCTTGCCGGCGTTGGCGACATCTTCCACAGCGTAGCCACGCTCATCGTCGGCGCCGCGTTCGGTGCCGCCGACGTTGCGCTCCTCGCCGCGGTAGTATTGATGCTGCTGAGTCTCGCCCACCGCCGCCGTGAGCCAGCTCGGCTCGTCGCCGCTCTGCTGGATCTGCTTGTGCTCGAAGTCGAGAGTGCTCAACGACCTTCGCGCCGGGGGCCGCAGTGGGGTGACTGCCGTCGTTGCAGGAGGGTTGGGAGGCATAGCGATGCTTGACAGCATGCCCGCTCTGATCTCGGGCACGTTGGGAGGCAACCCAAGAAAGTGGCCGGGTCGCCTGCCTTCACTGGCGGACGTCTGGCTCGTACGCACGTCCGAGACGTTGCTGCGCTGCGCGAGGCCGTCGGAAGCGTAGAAGTGGCCAGCATGCGGGTCGCCGATGCCAGCAAACGCAGAGCTGCTGGTCTGGAAACGGCCCTGGATCGGCTCGGCTAGTCCGAGCGGCGTGATGTGCGACGCGAAGCTATGCGTCGTCGGGCGTGACGCTGGGGCGGGCAGCCCGGAGAACGGCGTCTGGGTTCGAGCGGCTGTGGGGGCGCCCGCTAGGTCCTCGAGGACTCGACCAGGTGGCGGCTCGAGCTCTCGTTCGTCACGGCCGTCGATTCCGTAGTGCGCCTGATCGTGGCTGTGGCTGTGGTAGTGGTCGACGGCCTCCCCCAGTTGTCCATAGCCCGCATACTCGGCGCGTCCGTCGATGTTCGAAGCCGGATCGGCGCCAAGCTGGCTGTCGGTCGCGGGCAGATTCCTGGGCTGGCTCCTTGACGGCGTCGCGATTCCGTCCATCGGCACATGGCTCGCCATGCCCGCGAGATCCCCCGGACCATTGGCAGGCAGCTCGTTGCGGCGCGCCTGAGGCGTCTCGGAACGATGCAGCACCTCCATGGCGGCGATTGCGAGCTTGACGCTGCCGCTCAGCTACCAGATGCGAGGCGTGGTGAGGTCGGACAGCGGGCAGGCGCGGTGGTCAGGGCTGGAAAGACCGAGGTGCGTTGAAGGTGGCAGGAGGGACCGGGCCGGCGATGTGGATGGTGGTAGGGAGGAGAGAAACGAACGAGGCCTCTTGCCCTGCTTGGCGCCTTTTGGAGGCGCGGCGACACGTCGAGCCCGTCTGCTATCTGGCGAGAGCCCAGCGGGGCGATCTTGCTCGTTGCCTGACGCGCTTTGCGGCCCGCCTGCCTCTCGACTCCTGCCTGGTTGTCTTGCCCTAGCCTCGCCCCTCACCTCCAGCTGCCTCGCACCCACCCGGTCCTTGATCCAGCCAGCTGCTCCAACAACCCGCAGACGTCGAGCGGCGGGCAAGCAGAGAGAAGACGCACGATGAAGGCAGACCGACTCGGGGCCCTTTGAGAGAGAGAAGAAAAAAATGAAGAGGCAGGCAGGGGCCGGGAGGAAGAGTCAGTCAGCCAGCCAGCCAGCCTAGCCTTCTGGCTGGAAGACCATCAGAGAGCTTGAGCTTGCGGGCGGGCGTGCGTGCGTGCGCGGCCCTGCCTGCCCGCCTGCCTCGCTCCCTCCCTCCCGACCTGCTACGTACGCTCGGGCCTCCTCGGCCAGCCGGCCCGCCGCAGGTCGCCTGCCTAGCCTGCCGGCGGCTTCGAGCTTGACTGAGCTTGCTTGCTTTGTCTCGGCCTTCCAGCCGCCTTGCTTGCCCCAAGCTGGCCGGAGCAAGCCGGCCTGCCTGTGTGGTCTGCCTGCTTGCCTGCCTGCCTAGACCCACCGGCCAAGCCGCGCAGAGACCGCCGCGCCATAGCCTCGCTATGCGACGCCCCGTCCCAACCCGTCGCGCCGCGCCCAGCCGCGCCCAGCCGCTCGCTGCCGGGCTTCGTTTTCCTCTCTTCCTCGCGCTCGACTCCCGCCGGCCTGTTGCGCCCCGACCGAGGACGGCCTCTGCTCGTTGCCTGCTCGCTCCCTGCCGGGTGCAACGCATGCCCTACGGCTACTCTGCCTCGCCCTCTCCTGATGGCCGCGTGCCAGCGTAGCGATGCCGTGCCACGACAGTCCGTGCCGCTCAGCAGGCCTTCTGCCTGATCTCGACCAGCCAAGCCAGAGGCACGCAAGCAGGCTAGGGCTCCGCTGCGTCCGAAGCGAGCCGGACCGTGCCGTCGTAGTATGCGTGCGTATAACCGCTGTCGGGCCACTTGCGGGGCGTAGCTCCGCGTGCGGGCGGGCGTGGCAGGCAGGCAGGCAAGACTTCTGCGCAAAAAGCTAAGGCTGGCTGTGCTGGCCTCGGCCATCCTGCCAAGGTTCCAGGCCATCCAACCTTGCTTGGCTTTATTTGCCTAGGCTGGCGCAGCTTGCTCTCCGAAACAGGCTAGGCGGGCAGGCGGGCGGACGTCGAGCTCAAACTCGAGCTCGAGTTGGCGTTTGCGCGGATTCACCCGCCCAGCCACGCCGCCACGCCGGCCCGGTGTTGGCCCAGTTCGGCTACGTGTTGCAAGCCTGTCTAGCTGAATCGCGAGTACCTGCGCGCCGGCTCGAGAGAGAGAGAGAAGGAGAAAGGGACCCGCCACGCGCTGGTTCGGCTTGCCTGCCTGCTGGACGGCTATCCCGTCGGTGGGTCCCTCGCGTGGGCGACCGGCTGCCACCGCCGCGCTCGGGCGGGAATATTAACAGGCAGGCGGACGAAATCGTCAAAGACCTCGCTGAGTGCCTCTCGCTGCCCACGCCTCTTTCCTGCCCGCGCCCACCTCCGCGTGCGCTCGCCCATCTCGTCACTCGACACTTTCCACACCCAGACGATCCACGGTCATTCACAGGTCGGGAGATGTCTCCCGATATCGAACACGCCGACTGCTTCCCCCCCTTGGCTGAATTGGGTTCGAGAAGATGCAATTGTTCCAAGCGAGCAGTAGTGTAAACAAGTGGCGACGGAATGGACCGTGTCGTTTGTGTGTGCGTGCGTGCGTGCATGCGTGCATGCGTGGTGCGGCGACGGAAGCGTTGAGACGACGATGAAGTCGAAAGGAAAGGGATCGCGATGAGGTGAGAGCTTCCTGCGCAGGAAGAGATTGGCGATGGGGAACAAGAGGGCGGGGGTATGCTGTGCGGTGGAGTCGGGGGAGCAGTAGTCGTGTGCGTGTGTGTGTGTGTGTGTGTGTGTGTGTGTGTGTGTGTGTGTGTGTGTGTGTGTGTGTGTGTGTGTGTGTGTGTGTGTGTGTGTGTGTGTGTGTGTGTGTCGTCGTCGTCGTCGCGTCGTCGTCGTACGTACGTACGGTACGGTCGGTACGGTAGTGTAGGTGTAGGTAGGTAGGTACGGTAGGTCGGTACGTACGAGACGG